ATGAAAATTTTAAATAAATAAATTGGTTTGAATTTTATATATAATATTTAAACTATAGGTTTTAAAATATTTAAAAGGAAAAAAACAAAAGAAAATACCCTGAAGAACACAATAATAGAAAAGGAGAGAAATTCAATTGGATCATAACACTTTCTATTCACATATTCACAACAAGTTCAACCAATTCTTGTTCTTGTTCTTCCTTCATGTTCTTCCTCTCTCTCTTCTCTTTCCCTTTCTTTTTCCACTTACATTGTGGAAACCTCTTAGATCTAAAAATTAGGGTTTCTTTTTTTGTTTGTTTGTTTGTTTTTATCCTCTTTCCTCTCTCTCTTCTCTCCTCCCCTCTTCTACTCTTCCAACGAATGAGTGGCTGGACGGTAGAGATCATAGGGAGCCCACAGGTGATCCACGGTGCAGGGCTTCCTAGAATCTAGTCTTAGCCAAGGCTTTCCTTTGCCGCTCCAGTGGAGGAGACTGATCGGACCAGGGTGGAGGCTCCGGCATTTGCCTTCTAGGTTATCGCCTCCTAGACCGTGCTGGTTCCACCGGTGATCGACGGCGTGGATGTTGCCTGCAAGCACGAGGAGGAATGGCGGCAGAGAGCCTAGGTGGTATATCCGCCGTTGCTTCTGCACTGACATCCACTCTTCCATCTTTTGCGTGAACTCCCCGTCCCTCCACTTCTCCACGTCCACTACCATTACACCTGTACCACGCGCCATTCTATTTATAATCAAATAAATTAAAAATATAAAAAAATAATTAGAAAAAAAAACGAGAGAAAAGCAATAAATTGATACAAGATATTTATTTAGGTGAATATGATACCTATGAATTGAAATGTAATAATAATTTTTTTATACCTGTGTGTTGGATACCTATGAATTGAAATGTAATAATAATTTTTTTATACCTGTGTGTTGAAGTAGTACGGGTTTTTGAATGGTGGTGAAATTCTCTATTTACCATTATCAAATAAATTATATAAAAAAAAATAAATAATAATAAATGGATACGAGATATTTTACTATAATAGAACGTGAAATATGATACTTGTGGTGAACTGTAATGAAATGGAAATGTAATAATGAATTTTTTTACACCTGTGTTGAAGTAGCACGGGTTTCGTCCCTCGAATGTGTTTGCTAGCTTTGGGTCCGACCAGAATTGGTCTGTAAAATACTTTGTGAAGTTTGCATGGCAATACTCGGGTGCTCCTAATGCCTGTGCATGAACGACTAAAATTAAAATAAATTAAAATATCTTAGACAAAAAAAAAAAAAAAAAAAANAATTAAAATAAATTAAAATATCTTAGAAAAAAAAAAAAAAAAAACAAAAAGAAATGTAATAATGATTTTAAAAAAAAAAGGAATTGGATAAGAAAAAGGGAGAGATGAAAAGGAAGAGAGTATAAATAGGCAGTTGAGGGATTAATCTTGTTGAATTGAAGTCTTTTCATTTTTACCTTCCCGCCCAAATCCACTCCCCAAAGCTCTGCAACATCGTCAACAACGACCAAATCGGAGTCCAAATAGATTACTCTCTGCACCTCCTCCGGAAGAATCTCCGCCAGGTAAATCCTAGCGTAGTTCAATGGCTGATCCAAAGCCTGACGAATCGATTTCGAAATTTTTCCCCGAACCCTACTGACGTCGAATCGATAAACCTTAAATTTCAGGTAAGGAAATGTCGATTTGATGCAAGAGAACACCTCCGGCTCGTATCTCGCCCACAGGAAGTGAAATTCAACATTCTCGGGGCAAGTTGAGTGTTGAAGAATCGACAAAACGGCCGCCATTGTTCCTCTGAGGTAATTCGCATCCAATGTCATAGCGACGTGAATCTTCTCATCTCTATTGCAGGAATCGCCATTGCGAAACGCAGGGGCTTCGCGGAAGACAGGAACGTCGGAGGAAGGCTTGCGGATGATCCCTAGGCGGATTCCGGCGGCGGAAGCGGCGGCATCGGGGAGGTGGAAAGACAGGAAGAGGCCGAGGAAAGAGATGGAGAAATGGAGGTGGTGGAGGTTGTTCCAGACGGCCATTCCTGCCCTGTAAAATTGAGTTGGAAATTGAACGGCAGGGGAAGAGGGGGAAAAAGGCTAGGGAAGGGAGTTTGGTGAAAGATCAAGAAAGAGAGAGAGAAGGAGTGATGGCAGCCATTGTTAGGCTGGTTTGGAGAATGGATTAGGAAGGAAGAAGTTAGGGATGGTTGATTAGAAGGGATAAAATATGGATTTGAAGGAGGTTGGTGGGGATTCTGAGGAAGGGAAAATTCTTAGGAAAACAAATGCCTATTTCTGGCCATGGTGATTGATGATGGTGGTGGGATTATTGAGAAACGCATGAAACCATGCCTTTGCGCTGATGGAGGTACATTTTCTAAATTTCCTTTCATCATCCATTTATTTCTTTTCCACCATTCACTTACTTTTTAACACAACCTTAGAATTTTTGTAATGAAAATTGCACATCCATATTCAAATTAAGTTCCCGTGCTTCAATTCATTCGATTGAATTAGTCTCTAAGAATGATTTATAAAACTTCTATAGTTAGAAAAGTTAACATCAAATTAAGAACTTAGATTAACTGCAACCTAAAAGTATCACAGCTGGGGCTGTTAGATGATGAAAGTCCCACATCGGTTAATTTAGGGAATGGTCATGGGTTTATAATCTAAGAATACACTCTCCATTGGTATGAGGCTTTTTGGGGAAGCCCAAAGCAAAGCCATGAGAGCTTATGCTCAAAGTGGACAATATCATACCAATGTGGAGAGTCGTGTTCGTCTAACAGGGGCTTTATTTACGAGCTTTTCACATTGTTGTTTCTCTCTACATGTAATTTTTTCATTTAATATTATTCATTTTATTACAATAAATGTAGAATAAAATGCCATTTATTTTTGTTACCAGGAATATTATTAATTTTAAAATAAAATATATTTTTAAACTTTAATATACTTAAATATATTTTTTTTCTTATTTTAAAGTTAGAAAATTATACTTATCTTAATTTATTATATGTGTATTGTTAAGGATATTTAGTAATAAATTATAGTTTACCATATATATTATATTTGATATTTTATTATAAGGCAAATATTAAATATTTGTCTTAATAATTATTATAGTATCTTTCCATTTATTGTTATTTCCATTTATTACTATTTCCATACCCTTGTAATTCATTTGATTATAAATAAGATAACTTTCACACCATTTAGGTGGTGTGGTGGATTAATCAAACATTCACATGGTATCAGAGCCCTCTCGATTTAACAATCCTGATCCTTTCTTTTCAATGGCTTTTGAATCCTCTAATCTTCTTCTCCACCACCCCTGCTGGTTTTGACGCCGTAGGGGCAGTCTTCATGGCTGCCGTAGTCGGAGCCGATTGATTAGCTCCNCCCTATTGACCTCCAAATCACCTTTCGTCATACTTTGTACATACAAACCTCACCTTTTCCAACCCAATCGGTTTTCCCCTTGGCCAATATAGTCTCTCTCATTTTCTTATCAAGCAACCTTCATCCTTCACATAAACCCTAACCTAAACCTATCAATCTTTTGCAGAGATTTACCTTCGGAATCTGGGTGCCGCACTGGCCTATTTGCCAACCAAGTTGCCGCTGCCCTTCCTGCCAAAATTGGCTTCTTCGCCCGATGAGGCGACTCTTTCGACTGCCCTTCTCGCCAAAATTGGCTCCTTCGCCCAATGTGGCGACTCTTCCGGCTTCAACATTGTCTTTGTCCCTTGCTCTAGGTTTCCCCTTCTACTTCTTGGGGTTAGAAATATTCTCACCAGAGCCAAGGCAGAATCGTCGCTAAGCGACAATCCCTCTTCATGGGTTAGACATATTCTCGCAGAAGCCAAGGCAGCATCGCCGCTGAGCGGCGATCCCTCTGCAATTTTTGATGGCCAAGAACCGGGTTGTTAGCATCTTCATGAAAAGTGTTTCTCAACCTTTTTGAATTTTTCAGATTCAAGCTTCACGTTCGTTTAAATCCGACGCTTACCTTGCGGTGGGGTGTTAAGGATATTTAGTAATAAATTATAGTTTACCATATATACTATATTTGATATTTTATTATAAGGCAAATAAATATTTGCCTTATTATCATAGGTATCTTTCCATTTATTGTTATTTCCATTTATTACTATTTCCATATCCTTGTAATTCATTTGATTATAAATAAGATAACTTTCACACCATTTAGGTGTGGTGGATTAATCAAACATTCACATGGTATCAGAGCCCTCTCGGTTTAACAACCCCGATCCTTTCTTTTCAATGGCTTTTGAATCCTCTAATCTTCTTCTCCACCACCCCTGCTGGTTTTGACGCCGCAGGGGCAGTCTTCATGNTAGCTTGCGGTGGGGTGTTAAGGATATTTAGTAATAAATTATAGTTTACCATATATACTATATTTGATATTTTATTATAAGGCAAATAAATATTTGCCTTATTATAGGTATCTTTCCATTTATTGTTATTTCCATTTATTACTATTTCCATATCCTTGTAATTCATTTGATTATAAATAAGATAACTTTCACACCATTTAGGTGGTGTGGTGGATTAATCAAACATTCACACGTATATTTATATATATTAAGAGATGTGAAGAAGAGAGAGGGTGAGACAAACATAATAAAATTAGGGGATCTCAAAAAAAAAATTAATTTTTTTTAAAAAAATCATAGATATAATTGAATTTCTTTTAAATTTAGTTATTTTAAGTGAATCATGACTTTCCAATTTTCATCAATCGAGTTACCTTTAAAAAAAATTACATAACAGTTTTTTTTATTAATATTTAGTAAGATTGTAAAAGATTAATAATTTTTAAATTAATTTAAAATGAAATCACGTCAAAATAGTTATTTAAATTAATATTAACTATTACTTCGAGGTTTTAATTATTGGAAATTATTTTGGTTTTTGTCCAATTTTTAAATTTATTGTTTGGAAAATCCCAACTTTCTGTCTACCCGTCGTTCGTCTCTACACAGTATCTGTAAATTCTCGACTGCGCGCGCCGTCGTGCGACTTGCCGGATACTGAGCTCACTTCCCGCCGCTCACCGTTCTTCACTAGGCCTGTTTAGAGTCTCTCCTAGATTTCTCCGAAAAAATCGGATTGGAAGTCGAAATAGCATCACGTTTGGAGAATCCGGAAAGTGAGAGGATTACTACGAACATAAATTGGAGGCTTCCGCTACATATTTTTCAGGTAATATTCTCCAAAATCCCTATTTTCGGCCTGCAGGTTCTTCTGTAAATCTTGGATTGATCTGATTTTAAATTATGAAGGTGCAAGTATATATGTTTGATGGAATTGCTAATATTGTTGATGAATATTTGCTAATTTTTAGGCTAATCTTATTTAGGATTGCTACACCGACATTTCATCGTTCAACGGCGCCACCTCGTGTTTGGTTTTTTCTTCAATCTTCAACGTTATGATACACCGTCATTGCACCTCATACTTCAATTGATTCCTCACCGTTCCAGTTCAGTTCTTTTTGACCTCTGCATCTTCTACTCATACCATTCCTTTCATGTCCTTCCTGAAACAATGTAGAACGTTGATCGATGCAAAGCTTGTTCACCAGCAAATTTTGGTTAATGGCTTCACTGATTTGGTTACACACGCCATTGGAGGCTACATTGAGTGCAATGCATTTGCACAAGCTGTATCGCTCCTTGAACGTCTCGTTCCATCTCATTCCGCCGTTTTTTGGTGGAATGCGCTGATTCGACGCTCTGTGAGGCTTGGTTTTCTTGATGATGCATTGTGTTTTTATCGTCAGATGGAGAGACTTGGGTGGTCGCCTGACTATTACACCTTTCCATTTGTTCTCAAAGCTTGTGGTGAGAAACTGTCATTTAGATGTGGTGCCTCAGTTCACGCCATGGTTTGTGCTTATGGGTTTGAGTCAAATGTATTTATTTGTAATTCTGTTGTGGCAATGTATGGGAGATGTGGGGCATTGGATGATGCACGCCAAGTGTTTGATGAGGTGCTTGAAAGAAAGATAGATGACATTGTGTCTTGGAATTCAATTCTTGCTGCTTATGTACAAGGTGGGGAGTCAAAAGCTGCCCTCAGAATTGCCTTTCAAATGGCTAAGCACTACAATTTCAAACTTTTCCCAGATGCTATTACGCTTGTCAATGTTCTTCCTGCATGTGCATCAACATTTGCGACTGAACATGGCAGGCAGGTACATGGATTTGCGGTTCGGAGTGGATTGGTGGATGATGTGTTTGTAGGCAATGCTCTTGTGGATATGTATGCTAAATGCTCGAAGATGAATGAGGCAAACAAGATGTTTGAGCAGATGAAGGAGAAGGATGTGGTTTCTTGGAATGCTTTGGTAACTGGCTATTCTCAGATTGGTAGCTTTGATGATGCTCTCTCCTTGTTTAAGAGGATGCAAGAGGAAGATATTGAGTTAAATGTGGTAACATGGAGTGCTGTGATTGCTGGCTATTCTCAAAGGGGGCATGGTTGTGAAGCCCTTGATGTATTCAGGCAAATGCAAAACTGTGGGTTGGAGCCAAATGTTGTTACTCTTGTGTCTCTTCTTTCAGGTTGTGCTTCTGTTGGAGCATTGCTTCATGGAAAGCAAACACATGCATATGCCATAAAAAATATTCTCAACTTGGATTGGAGTGATCCTGGAGATGACATGATGGTTTTTAATGGCCTAATTGATATGTATGCTAAATGCAAAAGCTCGAGAGTTGCTCGCAGTATTTTTGACTCGATAATAGGAAAGGACAAGAACGTGGTGACTTGGACTGTCATGATTGGTGGGTATGCTCAGCATGGCGAAGCCAATGATGCAATAGAACTTTTCTCTCAGATGTTCAAGCAGGAGACCTCTTTAAAGCCTAATGCCTTCACTCTATCTTGTGCTTTGATGGCTTGTGCACGTTTGGGTGCATTAAGGCTTGGAAAACAAATCCATGCCTATGCTTTGCGTCATGAAAATGAGTCTGAGGTTTTATATGTAGCTAATTGCCTTATAGATATGTATTCCAAATCAGGGGACATTGATGCTGCTCAGATCGTATTCGACAACATGAAGGTACAAAATGCTGTTTCTTGGACATCTTTGATGACAGGTTACGGTATCCATGGTCGTGGTGAAGAAGCACTACGTGTTTTTAATCAAATGCGGGAAGTTGGTCTTTCAGTTGATGGGGTAACCTTTCTTGTCGTTCTTTATGCTTGTAGCCACTCTGGAATGGTGGATCAAGGCATGAACTACTTCCATGGTATGGTTAAGTACTTTGGGGTTGCACCGGGAGCCGAACATTATGCATGTATGGTTGATCTCTTGGGCCGTGCAGGTCGTCTCAATGAAGCAATGGAACTCATTAAAAGCATGCCAATGGAACCGACCCCAGTTGTATGGGTGGCTCTACTAAGTGCCAGCAGAACCCATGCTAATGTCGAACTTGGGGAATATGCAGCAAGTAAATTGATAGAATCTGGGGCGGAGAATGATGGTTCATACACATTACTTTCGAACTTGTATGCGAATGCGCGACGTTGGAAAGATGTAGCTAGAATCCGAAGATTGATGAAACATACCGGGATCAAGAAGAGGCCGGGATGTAGTTGGGTACAAGGCAAGAAAAGCACTACAACCTTCTTTGTGGGTGATAAAAGTCATCCACAATCAGACCAAATATACAACATTCTCGCCGATTTGATTCAACGCATCAAGGACATGGGGTACGTTCCTCAAACAAGCTTTGCTCTTCATGACGTTGACGACGAGGAGAAAGGCGATCTCTTATTTGAGCATAGCGAGAAGTTGGCTGTTGCGTATGGGATCTTAACATCAGCTCCAGGACAACCCATTCGGATAAACAAGAACTTGCGCATATGCGGTGATTGCCATAGTGCCTTAACCTACATTTCCATGATTATTGAACACGAGATCATATTGAGAGATTCCAGTAGGTTTCATCATTTCAAGAAAGGCTCCTGCTCTTGTAGAGGCTATTGGTGATGGACAAATTGAATCAAGACTATGAGGGACCTGTTTTATGTCATTTGTATTAGGTAGGGAATTGCTAGTCTATGAGTTTAACTGTTTTATGTCATTTGTATGAGGTAACTGCAAAAATATTTTGAATTTGTATCTAGTGATTATTAGGAAATACATGTAGATCTTTGAATTCACCTCGAATTGTTATTAAGAGTCTATCACATTGTGGCAAATGCAAGCAGATATTTAGAGGCTATCACCGATATATTACTACCTTCCATAATATCTCGAGTGACTACTGTACCTTCTATACATTAGCAATCTTTACAAAGTTTCAATTCGGATCCGAAAGCCTCAAACCCTGTTCGAAAAATTGGCCATTTCTCTGAAGTCTCAGTCTGTTCTCTGAAACCATCCCAACTGCAGATGAAAGTATGTTTTAGGGGAGATACTTAGAAGGAAACCACATTTCTATTAGGTTCATCATATGTGAAGAAACAATCATACCTTCCAAGCATACATTCCAAAAAAGACTATGGTGTCAGCTGACCAGACGACTGCAAAAGACTTCAAGAAAAATGGAATTATAACATTGAGTAAGGGGACCAGGAGGAATAGATAGTTGAGAGCTTCTTTCTCGTTCTTTGAGCAGTCTCGTGCTCGAAGTGAAGGTATTGCTGTCATTCAAAATTTTCACGTAGTCAGTAGAAGCTATCTCGAGTTTCTCTAGTGAAAATATGAAACTTATTGTAGCCAAAATAAGTAAGAGTTGATGGAGAAAGTTGGTTTAAAATAGTCGAGATAACATAGAAGATGAAATGTAACAGCCCCAAGTCCACCGTTAGCAAATATTATCCGCTTTGGCCTGTTACGTATCGCCGTTAGCCTCACGGTTTTAAAATGCATCTGCTAGGGAGAGGTTTCCACACCCTTATAAATAATGTTTTGTTCCCCTCTCTAACCAATGTGGGACCTCACAATCCACCCTCCTTGGGTGCCCAGCGTCCTTGCTGGCACACCGCCCGGTGTTTGGCTCTGATACCATTTGTAACAGTCGAAGCCTACTGCTAGTAGATATTATCCACTTTGGCCCGTTACGTATCACTATCAGACTCACGGTTTTATAACGCATCTACTAGGGAGAAGTTTCCACATCCTTATAAAGAATGTTTTGTTCCCCTCTCCAACCAATGTGGAATCTCACAATCCACCCCCTTGGGAGCCCAGCGTCCTCGCTGACACACCGCCGGGTGTCTGACTCTGATACCATTTGTAACAGCCCAAGCCTACCACTAGTAGATATTATCCACTTTGGCCCATTACGCATCGCCATTAGCCTCACGATTTTAAAATGCGTCAGCTAGGGAGAGATTTCCACACCTTTATAAAGAATGTTTTGTTCTCCTCTCCAACCAACGTGGAATCTCTCGTGAAATCTAACAAATACAGTACCATGATAATTAGCTTTCATTTTTAAGCTAAGAAAATGAACAAAAAATTATAAGGAAAAAACTTACTGAACATCCATATTGACCACATTCCCATTAATCTCCATATATCTGGTTCGTTGGAGGGGAATAGAAGATTAAAAGATAGCACACCACCTAATAACATTGAGGCATAGCCTTGAACCTCAAAAACAGTATATAAAGTAGTTCCAGGCACTGCAGGATTCTTTGAAGCAGTAGAGGCCCTTGGTGCAAATGTTGCAGCAGTCTTTTGAACAACCTGTTATGAAGTCATTGAAAGTGTGAAGTGCTTAGATATCAACTATACACTAGCTTTCTCTTCAAACTAAAATGCACTTTATTGGCCTTGGATCGTGTAATAGGTTCAGTTGGAACATTTGGAACACCGTGATCCTTATCAGTTAGCCTGGCTAACTCACTAAAGGAAGGATGCAAGAGCACCTCCTCCATTAATGACTGTTCATCTCTATTACGCCCCCCGTTATGACCTAAAGAACTCATTCACCAACCCAAAGGAAGTTAGCACAAAAAACTTCACCTTCTTAGGAAGATTAACCTTCTAGAGAGAGAGAGGTGGAAATAGAAGCTTCAAGAGCAGCTAACGAGGACGAGGAACGAGAAAGAGTGGCAAGAGAAACTCCTAGGCAAGATCTTTAAAGCATAGATCCTTCAGGTGGATAATAATGGAAAGAAAAGGAATTTAAAGGCACCTTGGAGAATTTTCTTAAACCTTTTGAGTCCTTCCCGTGAGATTACATCGGTTGGGGAGTAGAATAGATTGAAACATTCTTAATAAAGGTGTGGAAACTTCTCCTCCTTTGCAGACGCATTTTAAAAACTTTGAAGAGAAGCCCGAAAGGAAAAGCACAAAAAAAAACAATATCTGCTAGCGGTTGGTCTGGGCCGTTACAAATGATATCAGAGCCAGACACCAGTCAATGTGCCAGCAAGGAGGCTGAGCCTCGAAGGGAGTGGACACGAGGCAGTGTGCCAACAAGGATGCTAGGCCCTGAAGGGAATGGATTAGGGGGCCCCACATTGATTGGAGAAGGGAACGAGTGTCAGCGAAGACACTAGGCCTCGAAGGGGGTGGATTGAGATCCCACGTTAGTATGGAAACCTCTTCCTAGCAGAGTGTTTTAGAAACCTTGAAGGGAAGTCCGAAAGAGAAAGTCCGAAGAAGACAATATCTACTAGTGGTAAACGCATGGATCAAAGAAGTTGAAGAGCTATGTGGTATTCTGATAACCATTCAAGAATCCACAGAGAACCCATCGGTACACTACGTGCTATTGATCCTATTAAACAACTTCCATTCGCCCTAAAACTTGAAAAATAGAACCCCACTAGACAATTCCAGAACAAACTCGAAAATCCAAATCAAACCCATTAAATAATTACAACAAAAATTGTAAAAGAATCAAAGAAAAACGACAAATACCCACTAAATTTAGCATTGAAATTCCACGAAGACGATGAACAAACCTTCTTGAGGTCTTTATCCAGCGCAGGAGCAGTGGACGCCCTGCTTTGCTGCTGGGCTCCGACCGCTACCTCATCTCCAGCTTCTTTAGACCCCTCGGCTGCCTCGGTTTGCAAGTCGTTGGAATTGGCGCGTAATCTGTGGGCTCTTCTGATGGCAGAGAGCTTTAAAGAAACGGCGGATCTGTGGGAGAATAAGCTTGGGATATCACAGAAATGGCAACCAGAAGTGGGTATTAGAGTGTTCATAGCTCCGCTATGGATAAGAAACGCAGGCCAGAGGTGATCCTGCCTGCACGGCCTGTGGCACTATGAACCGTAACCTTAATTATTTTTATTGTTTTGCTTTAAATATTATTCTTTTTTCTTTTTTGTTTATATATATATTATATCCATTCATTTTTATACTTATTTTTTCTAATAAAAATTAAAAATTTTGAAATGTTGTTATTAATTTGTATTAGGTTTAAATTTTATAAATATAGATTAAATTGGTCGAGGAGCTAAAATTATAGGGATTGAAGTAAACGTTTTAATGGTACGATTACTAAAATTGCTTAAAAATTTTAACACGATCGAATTATTAACCTATCAAAGTGAGCCTCAACTGATAAAAAGTATGTATCATCGACCAACAGGTACGAAATTCAAATCTCTGTCTCACACATTGTATAAACATTGTAATGTTTGTTGGATGATGAAAGTCCCACATCGGTTAATTTAGGGAATGGTCATGGGTTTATAATCTAAGAATACACTCTCCATTGGTATGAGGCATTTTGGGGAAGCCCAAAGCAAAGCCATGAGAGCTTACGCTCAAAGTGGACAATATCATACCATTGTGGAGAGTCGTGTTCGTTTAACATGGTATCAGAGCCATGCCCTAAACTTAGTCGTGTCAATAGATTGGCAAATCCTTAAATGTCGAACAAAGGACTCCAAAAGGAGTCGAGCCTCGATTAAGGGGAGGCGTGCTTTGTTCGAGGGGAGGTGTTGGATAATGAAAGTCCCACATCGGTTAATGAATACACTCTCCATTGGTATGAGCCCTTTTGGGGAAGCCCAAAGCAAAGCCATGAGAGCTTACACTCAAAGTGGACAATATCATACCATTGTGGAGAGTCGTGTTCGTCTAACAATGTTAACCTGTCAATCTGAGCACACAATAAGACAACATACCATAACATTTCAGATATCAATGGTTTAATATTCCAATCTAAGCTTGAGTATGGCTCATTTCTTTTAGCTCGACTACATTTAGAGCGCGATATTCGAACCTCCACCTTTTTGGTCGATGGTACGTATTGACTACCATCGAGTTTGGCTCCATTGGACTTTCGTAACTTAAAATAACAAGGTATGGATTCCACGTATTATTCTATAGTTTTTTTTTCTTAATAGAGGTGAGATTATGTTCATATTGACGTTATAATATAGTTTATCAATTAATATGACTTTCAAACGCACACTACTACGTTTGTAACATTACTCTAAACAATAGAATATTACACGTGACACATTATTTTTTTTGTTTTGTCATTTTATTATTATTTTCTTTTTTTTATTAAATTAAATATTAAATAATTATATCGTTTTTAACGACCATAAACAAATTTAAGATCTTGAATTTTGGATCATTCTCTCAATAAACAAGTGGATCAAAGTCAAGGGAGAGAGATATGTTATAACTTGTGAAGCAAAACGTTTGCTAAGGTACTATTCATCATTTTTTTTTCTATTTTAATCCCATTTAGGGATTCTTCATTACCCGTTCTTTGGCCGAGTGAATGGTTAGAATTCAAGTCGTTAAATTCATTTTGACAAAATTTTCGATTATTTTTGTCAATTGAAGATTGTGGTGTTATAGGTCTGATTACAAAGCTAGTTGATCAGTGCTTGCATATTCAGATGGAGGGACAAGTTGGGACTAGTTGATGGAGGGATAAGTTGGTTGTCCGGTGGTGTTATGGGTCTGATTACAAAGGTAATTGATCAGTGCTTGCATGTTCAGATGGAGGGACAAGTTGAGACTAGTTGATGGAGGGACAAGTTGGTTGTCCGGTAGTGTTATGGGTCTGATTACAAAGGTAATTGATCAGTGCTTGCATGTTCAGATGGAGGGACAAGTTGAGACTAGTTGATGGAGGGACAAGTTGGTTGTCCGGTAGTGTTATGGGTCTGATTACAAAGGTAATTGATTAGTGCTTGCATGTTCAGATGGAGGGACAAGTTGAGACTAGTTGATGGAGGGACAAGTTGGTTGTTCGGTAGTGTTATGGGTCTGATTACATAGCTAGTTGATCAGTGCTTGCATGTTCAGATGGAGGGACAAGTTGAGACTAGTTGATGGAGGGACAAGTTGGTTGTCCGGTAGTGTTATGGGTCTGATTACAAAGGTAATTGATTAGTGNAAGTTGGGACAAGTTGGTTGTCTAGTAGTGTTATGGGTTTGATTACAAAGGTAGTTGATCAGTGCTTGCATGTTCAGATGGAGGGACAAGTTGGGACAAGTTGGTTGTCCAGTAGTGTTATGGGTCTGATTACAAAGCTAGTTGATCAGTGCTTGCATGTTCAGATGGAGGGACAAGTTGGGACAAGTTGGTTGTCCAGTAGTGTTATGGGTCTGATTACAAAGCTAGTTGATCAGTGCTTGCATGTTGAGATGGAGGGACAAGTTGGTTGTCTGGTGATGTTATGGGTCTGATTACCAAGCTAGTTGATCAGTGCTTGCATGTTGAGATGGAGGGACAAGTTGGTTGTCTGGTGATGTTATGGGTCTGATTACCAAGCTAGTTGATCAGTGCTTGCATGTTGAGATGGAGGGACAAGTTGGTTGTCTGGTGATGTTATGGGTCTGATTACCAAGCTAGTTGATCAGTGCTTGCATGTTGAGATGGAGGGACAAGTTGGTTGTCTGGTGATGTTATGGGTCTGATTACCAAGCTAGTTGATCAGTGCTTGCATGTTCAAATGGAGACACAAGTTGGTCGTCCTACCTAGTATTAGGTCACATAGTTGCCCTTGATTTACTTTACGATTTTTTTTTTTTTTTTTTGATATTACTCAAATAAATTTAATATTTTCATTTTCCTTTAAATTTTAATATCATTTTATTTTCTAATAAGGTTCGATATTTTAAAATTAATGTAAATTTGTTAAAATGTTGGATTATATAATATTGTTTGGAATGACGTGGAGATAAATATATTAAAAATTTGTTCAAACGTGTACCTCGAAACACCTTAAATAATTATTTTTTATACTTTGATTGCAATTAATTATAAATAATCTACTCGAGTTTTAGTGTTAATTAATTTTTCTTAAATTCTTTTTAAACGATGATATGTTACCGATGAAAACTTCTTTCATTAACGTTTTAATCATTTGGGGTTTTGGCCTAAACATAGTTCCAAACTTCAACCAATCCGAATTTAGGTACCCATTTATCTAATTCTACGCGCATTCCAGAGCTTCGGCGATGCAATTGGGTTCCCCGATTAACGAACTTTACTGTCCAAGACACATGCCGTCAATTTTGGCGCTGACGCCCCCAGTTCATCAATTCTGATTCCTTCTGTTGCAAGCCTATAATCAGCTCACTTTTTGACTCTCTGGAACTGGATAGCGTCTGATATTTGTATATCTAGCGCTTCCTGGGAATGGGGTTTTTCTCGATTTTGATTGAAATCGAAAACCCATTACTTGAGCGGTGCTAACGATGGAATCGAAGTGATTGCTTTTCAGTTCGTCTTTAATGGGGAGTTTTCTTGGTGGATTTTTGTTGCCTCTGCTGCTTCTAACTGGTAAGCGTGAGCTCATTTTTTGAGATATTTGCGTTGGTTTATGGCTTGAGATTGGTTGAGGGCTTGCTGTGTTTTTGGTTAGTTTAATACTCCGATTCAAGGAGGTAATATGTTTGTGATTAGGTTGTTGTACTTTTCTACTTATTTTGATCGACATTTTTAGGATCTAAACTGATATAGTGGGAAGCCATGGTATGTGGTGCAAGTGTTTGACATGTTGGGAGGGAAGGTGTAAGGGTTTTGAGATGTTTGGGGATGAGGTTTAAAGCTACAGGGTGAAAATTTAAGAAGTTGAAATTCTTGTTCTGTTTTCAAGCGTTCGCGGACTTCAGGTGGGTGAAGCCAACTTACGCAAATAGTGGTTTTGTTCTTGAGAGACTGCAAGAAATAAAACCAAACAATGGTCGTATTGTTGAGGATTGTTGGGAGGGAGTTCCACGTTGGCTAGTTAAGGGGATGATCATGAGTTTATAAGTAAGGAATACTATCTCTGTGAGATCCTACATTAGTTGGAGAGGAGAAAGAAGCATTCATTATAAGGGTGTGTATAGCTCTCCCAGCAAATGCGTTTTAAAAACCTTGAGGGGAAGTCCGAAAGGGAAAGCCCAAAGAGGACAATATCTATTAGTGGTGGGCTTGGGTCGTTACAAATGGTATCAGAGCCAGACACTGGGTGATGTGCCAGCGAGGAGGTTGGGCCCTGAAGTGGGGTGGATTGGGGGGTACCACATCGATTGGAGAAGGGAATGAGAGCCAGCGAGGATGCTGGGCCCCAAAGAGGGATGAGTTGTGAGATCCCACATCTGTTGGGGAGGAGAAAGAAGCATTCTTTATAAGCGTGTGTAAACCTCTCCCTAGCAGACGAGTTTTAAAAACCTTAAGGGGAAGCTCGAAAGGAAAAGCCCGAGGAGGACAATATGTGCTAGCAGTGGGCTTGAGCTTGGGCTTGGGCTATTACAATCTCTATTGGTATGAGGCCTTTTGAGAAAACAAAAAACAAAGCCGTGAGAGGTTATGCTCAAAGTGGAAAATATCATACCATTGTGGAGGATCGTGATTCCCGACACGTACTCGTGGACCTTTTACTTCATATGGTTCTATGCCTTGCATTCTGGATTGAGTAATCCACTTTTGATCAAAGTTTGGCTTTCAATGTAATTCGTAAGAATTTAAGTAAATTCATGAAAAGAGTGCAGCAATGAGGAATACTGTTCTAACCCTTATTATGAAAAAAGAATGGAGAGGGTGATAAAGTCCTCTTCCACATGCCAAAGTGGAAAAGAGAGCATATCCTATATCCTTTGGAATTGAGGACTTACCTTGAACATAGATATTCGTGCATTGACCTAGATGACCTTTTCTTGATCTCAAGGTGTTTTTTGAAGTTCAATTTGAACAAAAAGCTATGTTAGATGTAGGAATCTGAGCATATAACAATTTAAACTAGGCCATGTGTAGCTACCATCCCGACATTGTCACGTTTTGGTTGACCTTTGTCATAGGCCACCTTACTTTGACTTTGAATTGCTTTTGTATTAGATT